TTGTTGTTTGGCGGGCCCAGGCTGGGGATTCAAACCCGCCACCTTAGGTGTATGTGGCTGGCGCCTTAGCCGCTTGAGCCACAGGCGCCGAGCCACAAAATGCCTTCTTTATAGAATTTTCTGAGCGCCTAAGCAGAATGACATGTACAAAAGTCCCAAAACAGTTTGCGAAATAATCAGTGGTAATTACTCTCCTCTGTAAAGTCTCCTAATCTAAAGACATCCCCTTTTTCCAATCTCTAATAAGTTCTTGTGCCAATAATTTTTCATACACTATTTAACACATTGTTATGCTAATAAAACTTTCCTGTGTCATTGTTTTCCCTCCACAATTCAATTATAAGCCCCAAGAGCTAGATCAGGATCTCACAATTTATTTGTGCCCTTCAGCTCCCATCCTTCATGACAGGCAATGTCAAAAACCATGTGACGTGGACTGCTGGGTCTACAAGTCAGTGCAAGGAAGACCCGGGACACAGCTGGATACCTGAGACATTCAGTTGCTCCCCTGCCCTCCCTTGTAGGTGGCCCCTTGCTGAGTGGGACACATGTGGTGTGTGTGCTGAGTCCAAAGGGAGAAGGGGGAAGAGGATTCATTGAATTAAGACACAGATGATGAATACTGTCTGAAGGGGGCTCTGAATGCTCTTCTCAATGAAACAGGAATTTTAGAAGATGCTACTGGATCTGAGAGTAGAAAACAAAGGAAGACGTTAAAAGAAGAGAAATAGAAATAGACAAAGGGAGATTAAGAGGAAGAGATGGAGGAACAGAACAGGTGAAGGCAGGGGGACTAGAAAGGTGCTGGGGAGGGGGAGGAAATGGCCCTAAAGGGTTAGAAGTGGGTGGGGGTGACAGGGTGAGAGGTCAGTGGCCTCTTCATTCCCCCACCCTGTCTCAATCTCCCCCATCTCCTCTCACCCAGCCTACTACAATCTACTATTTACAGTATAGAGGTGGCTTTAATCTGATCCTTCTGCCTGGCTTTGCTTCCTCCCCTCCAGGACACCTTCCACACAGTTATCCGTGAGACCTTTCTGAACTCAGCTCTGGTCATGTTCCTCCCCATCATAACCTCTAACCACTGTCTAGTGCTCACAGCTCAAAACTCAAACTCTTCAAAGCCACCTAAAAGGCTTTGTGGATAAATTCAGGGTAGAAAAAAGAATACCTGGCTTGGCACCCATAGCTTAGTGAGTAGGGTGCCAGCCACATACACCCCTGCCAGGTTCAAGCCAGGCCTGGGCCTGCTAAACAACAATGCTAACTGATCAAAAAAAAAAAAATAGCTAAAAGGGCAGTGCCTGTGGCTCAAAGGAGTAGGGCGCTGGCCCCATATGCCGGAGGTGGTGGGTTCAAACCCAGCCCCGGCCAAAAAAAAATAGCCGGGAGTTATGGCAGGCACCTGTAGTCCCAGCTACTTGGGAGGCTGAGGCAAGAGAATCACTTAAGCCCAAGTGTTTGAGGTTGCTGTGAGCTGTGATGCTACAGCACTCTACCGAGGGCAACATAGTGAAACTGTCTCAAAAAACCCAAAGAAACAAAACAAAATTTTTTTAAACCTACATCATGTACATGCAACTCTCAGCATTTCACACAAGGGCATAAAATGTAGCCCCCACATATGTTTCTAATCAGTGTTCCTGTCACCCAAAAAGTAATTGCTGTTCAAAGAATACCTAACGTCTACATATGCCATGACTCTGGTTATTTCTGTCTCTTTGGTAATAAATCCTGCTTTCTGAAATACGTTTTGGGGCTTTCTCAACCTAGAAGCAGAGAGACGTCACCCTCCTGACTTCTCCCTCCATTTCTCCCCCACGGAATTCACTCCTCACTTTTCTGGGTTTCCATATCCCTTGATCAGTCCCTCCATTGTAGCATTTATGGTGCTTTCCTGTCGCTCCTCTGGACTAGATTGTAAATTCAATAACTTAGTCGTCCCAGTCTCTGTGTCAACATCTCTGATTTTCAGTTGCTCAAAAATGTCTGTCAACTTAACGTATTAGCAGGTAATTGTGTGACTACGCAGAAAAATGTGATTTTCCTCCTCCTCTTTATCCTTTAAATCATAGACCAACTCTAGGCTTGGTGGTTTCCACGTGTAACCCAAGGCATCTGTTCCTAACATCGTCCTCCCCTTGCAGTACTTCCCGAGTCTCTCCTCGCACGTTAGACTTACTGCCACCAAGACACTTAGTTATCAGGCTCACTGTCCAGAGGTGTTGCAGGATCCTTCTAGCAGCTGAGCTGCGTGCACTGAGGAACCCGGTCTCTCACTCCCTTCATCCCAGAATGGGGCTTCAGTCTTACATGGTCTGTGAGATCCTTTGCTGCAGACTTAACAGTTTCCCAGCTGCTCTCCAGACCTCACGGATACTACCTGGGTGGGGCCCGAGAGAATATGTGGGGGAAGAAACTACCGAACAGGTCTTAGGAAGCACAGCTGGGCTGATTACCACTGGGGTCAAGGGAGCAGTGGGAGTTGTTAAAAAGTTTCTAACTGTCTTGGGGTTTCCACACACAGGTTTTGCCAACTATGCCAAAAAAAAAGTTTATAAATGTCTCAAAAACACGTACTCTGAGAGGGCTCCCTCAGGGACCCAAAGCACCAAGGATATTGAAAATGTCAGAGGGTTGTGGAATGTAGGATTTGCAGGCCAAGAACCAAAAGGACGAGATGGTCTTTGAAAGAAGGAAGTTCTCTGGGAACTTCAGAGGAAGGTATTTTTCACATGAGTGATTCTTACCCTGAAGAGAATTACCTGGAGGGCTTTTTGAAAATGGATTGGTGGGCTCAGTGCCTGTGGCTCAAGTGGCTGAGGCGCCA